TATATTATTGTGGGGTTTGCTGACTTCTAGGTAAATACGGTGGCATTAGATGTACAGGGAGCTGGGTTTGTTCCTAGTTAATCAGGAATTGTAGTAGGTGTCTCTATAGAAATGCATTTGTTACTGTAGCGTAATGAGCTGGAGTTGGCAGAAATCCCCTGCAGAAATCTCCTAGTGAAGTAATAGGAGCCTATTCCTTACCTCATTCATACATTTCCTCTCTCTCAAGTTAGACATTAGAAATGTCGCCTAGATTACTGAACTCCAGTACACTGTTTACTCTCTACTTGGGATTTGTATATCTGAGTACATTTCAAAACAAAACTCGAAAGCCTTCCCAGGACATCTGATGGGAATACATTAGATCCACCTTGTCCTTGTGGATGACACCACTGTTTTGTCTCTATGCATGCAGGCAGGTATTCTTTATTTCCTACGAAATATGTTTCCTTCAATGCAAGATAAATGGTGATGAGCTTTGTCCCTTTCTCAGTTGCTTTTTGGCGTGATGGTCTAATTGCTATACCAAAGAGTTTTAAATGAAAAAAATTGAATTGCAAATTCTATCCATACTTATAAAAAATAAAACAATATAATTATATTTTTGGTAATCACTTATTCAGTTGAATAACACTCATAAAGCACACACACACAACCACAAATGTTTTAAACTACGCAAATATAAAATTTTGTGGAGGAGAGGTTATTTACAATGTTAGAAAACAATGCTGTTGCCAGAAAAATTTTCTTGGGGTTGCAAAGTAGGTCAGATAATGGAAAATACATTACCTGATGACAAACTATGCTTTATGCATTTCCAACCCTATTTAAAATTAGAAATTTTGAAAAAAATTTACATTTAAAACTAATAATTTTCTTTATTTTTTACTAAGCTTCCTTGTTAGATGCACATAATATAGATTTCAACTAGCTCAGAATTAGATTGCTTTGTCTACCCTATTCTATCTTTCTTTTCCAGGTTAAGTTTTTTATTGGCATCGTGGGAATTTTGCCTAAGCACAAAACTGCCAATAATTTCGCAACATTTATTGAGGGACTTCTGCGATTATAGATATTCAGTAAGTATAGGACTCATGATGAAAAGAGAAAAAAAACAATAAGAAGAAGATCATGATGATAAAGGATATAGTCCTGTCCTCCTGCAGGAGTTAACAATCCACACAATAACACATGCACGCACAATAACACACACACAAGCATGCAGAGCACTTGCTCCAGATAAGAACACGAATATAATAAAATTGGAAAACTGAGATTTTACAAGCCAAAGGCCCTCTGGAGGTGGAAGGACCAGATTTACACTGAGGTTAATTTGGAGAGTTTCTAGAAACACCACAAAATGAATAACATAGATTGTCATCAGATAAAGAAGCCCCAAGTTTGATTAAATGTTTTTGATTTCATAAACGTTATTTAACCAATGCTTACCAGTACTAGAGTTTTTACTTAAATGAAAACCTTAGAAAGTTGTTTGGGCATGAGGTGGAACAGACTCCGAATGAATGACGAGTAAAGTTCCCAGGCCAGAATGAACAAACCTACAGCAAAAGGAAGCTGAGATTGGTGAGAAGACACAGTGTCTGTCTGAACTAGTGAAAAACAAGCCCAGAAGTTCCAGGAGAAGAGGGAATGGAGGAGGGAGAAACTTAAAAGCAGGCAGAATTGCTCTGACAGGCCATAGGGCACTAAGGGTCTCACTGGGATTTTCACATTGGATTTCTCTCACTTTCTGTATCTTCTTGCTTATGTCACTAAATCCAGTCACCCAACCCAAAGATTATTAAAAAGGAGACATAGGAAACTATTAATAATATGTGTTTAGCCTCTGCCTACAGAACCTGAAAGCACATCAATTTAGTGAAAAATAAGCAGTTATCTGATGTATTTGGGGGTGGGGAATCAAGCACTTATTTACATTTTTAATTTCCCTTCCCCTATTAGTGAATGTTAGTATGTTGTCTAAAACTACAGTAAACCAGGGATGATCCTGCCCTTGAACACGTAGAGAGCCGTTAAGGGAAACAGCACCTCAGTTATGGAAGTGGGAAGCACTCACCCTGTTTCCAATTATTTACGTGAACCAGAAGCTGGACATGACCATATTCCAAACTGATGTGCTTTTACATATAGCTTTTCTGTCACTGGTGTTGCACATAGTGGGTACTAAGTAAATGATTTTGAATTAAAGAGGTTAATTTGCCTCTTTTCAATATGATTTGTACCATATAAAAAAAAAAAAAAAAAAAACTCCAGCAACACATCCATGAACCAAGAGAGTTAATGCGCGAGAGCTTTACCTTTCAAGGCTCACAGAGAGCCAAGGCAGAGGTTTTGATTGCACGGGCAGCCCCAGATCAGCCCTTAGCTGGACTAAACACACTTCTAGATATTGTATTTGCTGCTATTTCGTTGTAAGCGATAGGACGTCCCTTTGGTAAAAATTAAAGAATTATAAGCAAAACAATAGATATTGTTAGGACTGTGAGAATCTAATTTACAAGTACCCATTTAATGTTTTCAACTATAAAATTCAGATATCCACATTTTTTTTATCGTGGCCATGCAAAATTGTGTGGAAGGAGAGATGATTTACAATGTCAGAAAACAATGCTGTTGCTGAGAAATTTTCTTAGAGTTTCAAGATAGGTCAGATAATATTTTGGCCATGAAACAAACAGCACGAGTAAGGCCTGATGGAGATGAAGCAGTTGAAATAACTGTCACACCGAACATAAATGAAAAGGATCCATCCTGCATATACAGCTCCAGTGCTTTCAGTGAAATGAGGGTTTCACTACCTTTGCCAGATACCGGAAAGTTTTACACTAATAGAGCCCAGGGACAGCGTGGCAGTGAATCAGAAGAATCAGGGAATGGAGGAATCCAGCGGATTTCGGGAAGAAAATTCAAGGGGAACTGTGGTGCTGTAAAAGGCATGCTGTCTTTCTGAAGAGGTGTTGTTTCGATCATTTCATAGGTAAAGGCTGCTTTCAGTGTGGAATTCAACACACCAAGATGGTTTTTATGGACGAGGAGCAGCCACAAGAAGGGAAGGGGCAGATCTGTGGCCCAAGCCACAGCCTTTGCAGTGGGACTAATCCCCATCTTCCATGTGTACTGTGTGTGACACAAGCTTCCCGGGCAGGGCACTGGCCAAGCCCCTGTTCCACCGGAGGGGACTGTAGCTTTGCTTCACCCTCCCTCCCTGCTTAATCGCTGGTTCAAATGACAATCCACCCCAGGCAAGCGATGCTCACGCAGAGAATAAGACAGCCAGGCCAAGATCAAATTTTTCTGAAAGTTTTCTTTTTTCTACATCATCTTAACCTTCGTTTTTAAATAAATGGACTTGCAAATAGACCTAACTTCAAAGATCTCATTGGTCGGCTTTCACTGTTTATGTAACCGGGCAGGGGACCATTCAAGATATTATTCTTATTTTTTTTAATCTTCTCTTTCTATCTTTTCAATAGCATCTGGACGATCTTTCCATTCTTGTCTGGTGATAATGAAATCATTAAAAAACATACCAGAACCCTTTTTGCTTATCTCTGTGCCATTTGGAACATATGTGAATAAATTGAACACCACTTGCTCATTGGTTTTCTTTTTTACCCCCCTTCCCTTGTTTTTAAAAGCCCTGTTTGAAATCAGTCATTAAAAGAGCCGGCATCTGAGTTACGTCTGATGCTGGGAGGTACGCCTCAACGTCGTCCACATGGCCTTGATCTAGACAGCGAGCCACAATCTACCCAGCACATTTTTGTGGCTTAAGTGACCTGGAATCTAGGGCTTTTCTTTGTTGAAGATTTTCTTTAGGTTTCAAGTTGATTTTACACCAATAATGGTCATTCCAGCTTGAGCATTGCACAAATAGTTCATAGATGACCATGGAGAATCCAGCTATGCTGTTGGGACTAGCAGCTAGACTCTCTTAGAGGGCTTGACTTAGATCAAAGAGCATCTTTCCCTTTCTTGGAAACCACATTGCCAGCCTTTTCCAGCCAAGGGCCTGCTTGTGTTAAGTGAGAAGAGAGAGACTCCGACTCATCCCCAAAGAGGCCCCCCTGGAAGAGATGCAAAAGATTTTTCCAGAAGGAGTTTGCTCAAAAGCATAAAAGGTTCAGCCTCCAGCTTATCACTCAAAAAAGTTTTTAAAGCCTTTTTAAGGAAACAATTTTAACCCAGCTGCACTTATCGATCAGTGATTTGATTTTGCTTTGTTAGGAGGGACTCGTAATCTGCTCTTAAATGTGTTTTGTTCCTGGCCTTCTTTGATAGCAAGTTCTGCCTAAGGCTACTTCTCAAAACTGGTCACTGGAGCTTTTAAGTCTGTGTGAATAACTAGAATAATTTTAATCTGGACCTTTATTTATTCCTCACGCCCTACCCACTCTTGTACACAGCAGAAAATGTTAGGGGGCCATAAGACTTTTTTTTTTTTAATCAAATTCTGCCAAACCTAAAACCTATAAAAAGGAATCATTTGTCCTTTAAAAAAGAGAGAAAGAGCAAGGGAGCAAACTCTATTTACAAAGTCAGAGGGAGTCAATCTGATTTTATATTCTCAAGTACATTCAGTAAGTCTTAAAAATAATGCACGTTCTCAAGTCTTGTCTCTGTTTGGTATCAGCCACAATTAAAATATAAATTCTAGAAATATTCTGAATCATTGCAGAACATACACTTTTTGCAACAGATAGGTTTTATAGAAGCTTTTTTTCTTATAACTTTCAAAGGTTGTAATCATGCCTTTCATGACATTGTGAACTATAATTTTGTCTTCCTAAGCTACCATGAAAGAGTGGTCGTTTTATTATTATAGTATACACTAAAACAGAACCTATGCTCCTCATTTAATCACTTCTGATATTTCTCAAGCTAATGGGAACCAAAACCACTTATAAGATATCTGTCCGTTGATTTTCTTAATGAAATGCACACTTTTTTTATAATGTAAACATATGCATACACATGTGTGAACTTTACAAGTTTATTTAGCAAGAAACCAAATATGTGAGGAAAGCAGACTTTTCAAGTGGCACTTTAATTGTCGTTCACGCATGTTCTACAGATCATTACTGAATGTTTACAGGTCCTGCCTGGAATGACTTTACACCAAAGAAGAGGGTAACATATCCTCATTGTTTATAAAAATGACAGCTCCTAATGGACCATATTAGCTTTAACACAAACTATTAAATCTCCTTCATTACATTTTTCTGTGTTCTGTTTCGGCATCTCGTTAGCTCTGAGAAGTGGGTGCAAACTCCTAGGGAAATGTGAGCACACATTGAGACGATTAGAGATCATGGTTATTAGATAAGCCTCGGGAGGATGTTTTTCTTGGGTTGCTCACAAGCATTTTGAAAGAGTCGTGTTCCAGGTTTGAGGTCCCATGTTTCTTCCTCTTAAACTATGAGCAGCTGTAGCACATGACCTACTTCTGTAGGGCCCTGTAATGATTTCCTTCCTTCGGAGGCTTCAGGAGTCCTCCTTCTGCCCTGTGAAAAAAAGGGACAAATATTTTAATCCAAGCAAAATGCTGAAGCAGGTTTTGTTGGTTTCAGGGAAGAAACTCAATACAGCTCCAGCGCTGAGTGTAGGCCTCAAATTGGAACCATCTGGGCCGCAGAAGGGCTTAGAGGCGTTTGGGGAAGGCAGAGACGGTCTTGCCTAGGGCCGCAACCCATACACCTGCAGAGATGGCCGACGTCTGGGCAGACCCTGGGCTCACCCAGGAACTGGAGCCGCTCCCAAAGCCCCCACTGCCTGGCACTGCAGTTGGGAACACCACATAAGAAAAGGTGACAATTGCTCAGGGGTTGACTTCCTACATGAATATTCCTCATATTCATGTAGGAAAGCCTCATGATTCTTTGGAACGTATTTGACACAACTCAGACATAATTTCCTAACTTTTGCTTTTTAGCAGTCAGGGAGGAAAGTCTTCAGGAAACCAAAGGTGGGTATACACAATAATTTTAGAGTTATCCTTAGAACTAGGGAAAGAAAAAGGCTTTTACAAAGCAATGCATGCCTGTTTGGAATTCTCCACGTTCTTTTTTTGTTTAAAGGGTTATTATTATTGTTGACTAAAGTTTTCCTTTCCAACTAAGTGAAAGTGCTTTTCAAGCATTTTCTAATCTCTAAACATAGAAGACTAGGCTAGCTACTGGAAGGTTATTTTAAATAAAGTATTTTTAAAAATTTTACGTTGCAAACTTCCCATGGGTGAGGGATGAGAGTATCAACCCATTTCCAAATGTAAAGGACAAGGACTTTTGCTTAAAGATTAGAAATCGTATCATGTGATTTTAAAACCAGTGCAGAATGTTTTCTGGAAAGAAAATGGAACATAAAGAACAGATAGAAATTGTACAAAAGTTGTGCATTTAATATTTTCCAAATATTGGTTGATGAGAAATATATCATTTTCAACCTGGCTTTTAAATTATTTGCTGTTGTTAGAAGCGCAATGTGGCCAAGATAGAGTCCTAAATAATATGACCAAACTTGACATCCTGAGGTGGGAAGCCCCACGACAATCTCAACACCAAGGTCAGAGGATGATTTATCAAGAAAGGATCACTCCCTGGAAAAGGTGGCAATTCAGAAAAAATAGACGTGCTTGAAATTTTAGCTTAGATAAATTCCTAGAAGTATAAATCTGTCTGCTTTCTTCTAACTAATCTTTTTCAATTAGCCAGTGGACCACAATTTTTTGCTTATTGTAAGTACATTTATTCATTTATTATAATTAACTCTATTGACTGATGGAAATTATACATATGATTACAAATTGTATGATGAAAATGTTTAGTATTTTTTAAAATTAAGAATGGTCAGCAAGAATACATTTTTTAAAAAATTCCTGAATGGAAAACAAGTCCAAAAAATAGTATTTGGACTGAAGGCTCACAGAATGTCTCTCATTTTTGCAAAGTTCTAAGGATATATCTGTTGCAAGGTTTCCCAGCACACCGTTAGGGGAGACATGACTGTACAGTGTTTCGGTTCTGAGCTGTTCTCACATGCACACTTCATCACAAGCCAACTGGGAGGGGTGCGGGAGGGTTGTGTGTGCCGGGCTTACTTTTTTCCCCCGTTCCAAATTTATACGCATGAATCTAAATTTTTAACCAAATCGTTGTTCTCTTTCCTCTTGAGGCTGCTTCACACTCCTGCCTACGCACCCAGCTGCACCCAGATAGCTCTTCCTCCCTCCCCACACTGACAGCCTGCACCGCTGCTCAGCTACAGGGTGAGACTTAATGGAGCTGAGCAGAGCACTTCCTAGCATGCTTCCTGTCGAGCAGTCAGCCAAGACTGGGAAAGGCCCACCACCAAACTCCAGGAGTCAGGTGAAAATCAGAGGGCCAGCCCGCTGCGGGGGCAGCCTCCAGAAAGCATCTTGCTGTCATTTAAAGGTATTAGTCCGATACCTTTAGGAAGGCTTTAGGTTTCTCTAGAACACAGGTGCTGTCTCGTTCATATAGCTCTGTGAGAATACCCATATTCAGTATCTGGGCTAAGGTGACCTACCAACTCCTTTGAGTTGCGAATTTCTGAGAAGCATCAGTGCTGAGCCTCAGAAAAGCAAGAAATTCTGTGGTGTGTCTTCACATGTATTTTTATTTTTACTTTATTATTATTGTGATTATTTTTTAGAGACAGCACCTTGCTCTGTTGCCCAGGCTGGAGTCCAGTGACAATATCCTAGCTCACTGCATCCTCAAACTCCTGGGCCCAAGCAATTCTCCCGTCTCAGCCTCCTGAGTAACTAGGACTATAGGTGTACCACCATGCCCGGCTAATTTTTCATTATTATAGAGATGGGAATCTCATTATGTTGGCCAGGTTGGCCTTGAATGCCTGGTCCCAAGCGATCCTCCTGCCTTGGCCTCCAAAAGTGCTGAGGCTACAGGCATGAGCCACTGCACCCAGCCTTCCTGAGTATTTTTAAATACAGGGTTTCATATCTTTACTATTGCCCCCAAATTAAACCAATGATTATAACAATCGCACACCAACTAAAGCCATTGTTCTGATGGTTTTATTTGAAAAGCACCATTCTCTACAAATGGAAGCTAATCAATAAGAAGTACACATATATTTGAGAGAAAAGCCCACCCCGTCCTCAGGAAAAGCAATCCAGAGAAAGTGGGCAATTTCAGATTGATTTATGAACTTGGAAATTACTTCTGATTTTTTTTTAAATTTTTTCTATGGCCAAACTGGTCAGAAGGTGATGAAGACTGACTTCCCAGCCTTTTGCTGCCAAATCTTAACTGCCTGAAAACTTACAGAAATGCTTGATTAAAACTAGAATAAAAATCTCCAGTTGCCTTCAGCACACCACAGCACAAGGGTGGGAAAAACAGTGCCAGGTTGCAGTTTAAGTATAGTTACTTGGCGCCTGCTGAAAGTACTGCTCCCTTCCTGTTTAATAATTAATTCAACTTTAAAGCCCCAAGGATCTGGACTCAGCACCAGCTTCACAAAGCAGTACAGAAACAAAATGCTTCCAGAACTGGAGGGGGCATAGAGGAAGAAAGAATCTAACATTTCAAGAAACATCACCACATGGGGCCAGCAAGCAGGAGGTGGGGTTTGGTGGTGGAAAGATCCAGGGTGGAGAAATTCAAAATAAAATAAATATACACAAAAGCAAGGTTATTCACGGCCACTGGCACCAGGACTGGGAGCCGCACAGCAAGCCGGAAGTCATCCATTTGGGAGGCAGGCTGGGTGCCCGCAGGCTAGCGGGGCCGAGAGGGTAATGGGCTCAGTCTCTGGAAAAGGAGACCCAGCCTTGCTCTTCAGCAGTGGCCTCTGCTCATTAGTCAGAGCATCGTGCTGGAAAAGGCATCCAAGGTGGGCAGTCATCCCTGCCTTCGCGCTCCTCTCCCTCCACCCTACCCCACCTGCACAATTTACCCCTCAGGGGTAGGGCCGGAGAATGCCCGATGTGAGGGCGAAAACCAAGCAAGTTCCCAGGCTTAAATATTCATTAACAGAAGTTAACACCCAGCATAGCAGTAGAGAAATGCAAAAATGTGTCCCCCCTCCAGTGGGGCACCTGCAATGTGCTTTGTGATTTTTCTAAGTCGTTTGCTTTCTCTAAGCTGGTGAGTCCAGCCAGAAAAGTGACGCACTGTAGATGCTAAAAACAGGCAGAAGCTGCTTAAAAGCTCATCAAATCTCTTACCACACACAAGATAGGAGGACGAATGTTTCCAGAATGACTGCAGCAGACCCACCTCCAACCGCACAATCCAGTGTGAAACCACATCGACTGTTCTTCTGCACTCCAGGAATCCCAAGTATCCCAAAGCATTGCCAAGAGATGGTTTCACCAGAAATGAACAGATTAATTAAACAAAACCAAGGCCCAAGAGGCCAAAGGAAAGAGGAAAGCTATTTAAACCGAAATTGTATTTACCTTTTGCTTATTTTTATTATTATAAAGAGTCATGGGATAGAACACTCACACATATCCCCTGAGATTACAGTTGGGTATTTTGAAATAGACATTCACATAATTAAATGGTTGAATTGAACAAATAATGACCTGAATATTTTCCGTAATCCTTAAAAATGGATGCTTTTAATACTCTGCGATTGTTAAAACTGTATGGATTTTCTTTATATTTTACTTTATACATACATTAGCTATAAAACATTTGAAGTACATTTCCTTTATAAGTTTCCTTCCATTGCAGATTGATGGTGCTACTTTAAAAATGTAGCAGCTGTCTTTTAAAAACAGGATTTTGTATTCCTCTTGACTGAGTTCTTAGAACTATGCCAAACTCAAGTTTGAAACTAGTTTCCAGTTATTAAACAATTTCAAAACCAGAAGGTCAATATGTTTTTCTCAATTTTTGAGGTAGTGAATGTCTGCTGCTGTTTTTTATTTTTCAGTTTCAAGTTTGGTTTCAAGTGCATGCCCCTGCTTTCTTACAAAGCTTATGGTCCTAGACAGTGAATCCTTCCTCACAGTAACATATTCCTTTGTGATGAGAATAATTATCTATCAGTGTATCTTTAAAAAAATTTTTGAGTATTTCTATAAAACAGTGTGTTGTCATGGAAACAGCACTGGACTATGAGCCAAGCCAGCCCCTGGGCTGGTCCAGCGCTAGTACACACTGGCAAGTTACAAATCCAAGGACACACCCCCGGGTGTCATTATGCAGTGCTGCTGAAGGAGGAGTTCTCGGAGGAGCTTCTCCCCGTGCACTGTGTCTGCAGGGAACCCTGTTTCAGGGATGGGAAGGGAAGGCTCACGCACACACAGCCCACTCTAAATCAGTCCAGACTGTGGTAAGTGCTGAAATAGAACCATGAATTAAATGGATCAGAAGATTTATAAGGCCTGCCCAGGTGTCCAGATCTCCAATTCCATGTGAATCATGGATTCACCAGCTGGGTTATGCCCAGTCACTGGCCTCACTCACTCAATGCTCACTGTGTCCTGCTCACTCCTATCCAGCCTGGGCTTCTTCATACAATCCATGGGGAATTTGGAAGATTAGATAACTTGGAATATACCCATGGATATAGATGTGCTCTAAAAAAGAGAAAAGGTGTGAAAATCAACTCTGGGGTAATCAGGGCATGTGTAGGTCAAGTGTATTCTATTCAAGGTTTACCCACACAAGGCTAAAATATTGTGTCAGAAGTTAGCAGATAAAACAGGAATATGAAGAAAATGTCACAACTTTTTTTCTACCTTTTTGTGATCCTCTTCATGATTTGAAATATTTTGTACTAATTGTCTAGTGTGGGCCCTATAGGCTGATGGGACTGGGGTCCTCACATCAGTCTTCTCATCTGAAAAATGGGGATTTTAACCTCAGAAGTTTGCCTTGATAATTATCTGAATTAATGTATGTAAATATCTTAGTGGAATACAAACAATTTACCAAGTTGATATCAGCCATTATTATTGAGTTCAGAGAGCTGTTTTTGTTGTTGTTGTTGAGATAGAGTCTCCCTCTGTTGGCCAGGCTGGAGTGCAGTGTCACAATCTCAGCTCACCACAACCTTTGTCTCCTGGGCTCAAGCAATTCTCCTCCTTCAGTCGCCCGAGTAGCTGGGATTACAGGCATGTGGCACCATACCCAGCTAATTTTTGTATTTTTAGTAGAGACAGGGTTTCACCATGTTGGCCACGCTGGTCTCGAACTGCTGATCTCAGGTGATCCTCTCGCCTTGGCCTCCCAAAGTGCTGGGTGGGATTACAGGAATGAGCCACTGTGCCCAGCATAGGAGAGCTATGTTTAAGCAAAGAGCTAGTGACTAATAATACATAACTAGCATTCCCATACTGATTTTTTTTTCTTGCCTCTGTATGGGTTTGCTAGGGCTGCCATGACAAAGTGCCACAGGCTGAGTGGCTTAAAAAACCGAGATTGATTTCCTCACGATTCTGGAGGCTGCAAGTCAGAGATGAAGGTGTGGGCAGGGTTGACTTCCTCTGAGGCCCCTTTCCTTGGCTTGTAGATTCCACCTTCTCCCTGTGTCCTCACATGGTCTTCTCTCTGTGCATGTCTGTGCCCTAATCTCCTCTTTTTATAAGGACATCAGTCACATTGGATTAGGGGCCACCCCAATGACAAGCTTTAACCTTAGTTAGCTTGCTAAAGAACGCATCCCCAGATACCACCACATTCTGAAGTACTAGGGGTTAGGACTTCAACGTGGGAATTTGGTGAAATACAATTCAGCTCACAACAGCCTCCACATCAGTAGAAGCATGGCCTTATTCAAATGTTTGAAAGTAACAGAAGTTCAGATTAAAATAACAGAAGTTCACTGGTATATAAATGAAAGGGATCAACCTGGAGGACATTATTAAGTGAAATAAGCCAGGCATCGAAAGACAAATATTGCATATCTCATTCATAACTGGAATCTGAAAAAGTTACCTTAATAGAAATAGAGAGTAGAATAGTGGTTATCAGAGCCTGGAGAGGGGAGGGGTAAGAGGTTGATCAATAGATACAGAGTTGCAGTTAGGAAGGAAGAATAAATTGTGGTGTTCTATTACGTGGTAGGATGACTATAGCAAAGAGCAATGTTCTGTACATTTCAAGATGTCAAGAAGAGAACATTTTGAATGTTATCACTCCAAAAAAAGTGATAAATGTTTGAAGTGACGAATATAGTAATTATCCTGACTTAATCATTTATACAATGTATACATGCATTGAAACATCACACTGTATCTCATAAATATGTTCACTTATTATGTCAATTATACATAAAAATTAATTTCAAAAGAAAAAGTAAGGGGAAGCAGGCTCCATCCAGACCCTTGAATACTTTCACTGAGATGAAGCCACATGCTCTGTGACTATTCCCTGGTAAAGAACAGACACCCACAGTCTGGAGACAAGTTCAAATCAAGCAGAAGTGAGGGTTATTATAACACCAGTGGGACTGATCAGCGTAAGATACTTGTTGACTCAACTCACAAAGCTTGAATAACATAAACCAACAGAAATCTGCTTGAACCTAGGATCACCCAGGCCAGAGAGGAGGCTGACAAGTTGCCTTGGTCCTTAGGTGACTTGACCTAGCACTGAACTCTGTGACCTATCAATGTATGAAAAGACAGAAGGAATGTTCTACACATGCAGCTCCACACCATGCCTCCATGAGTTTGGTGACAGATGGAGCTGCCCTTTCCCACTGCCTTCTCTGGGAACCTCCTGTTAAACGCCTAGTCCATAGCTGCCTTTTTGCACCAAGGCTATGTCACCCCTGCCCTTGTGCCAGAGCAGATTGAGTTAAATATTTAACTCATTTCTATTTTAAAATGTGTTAACTCAATAAGTTTAGACGCATATTCATGATCCTTTCAAATATTTTCTCTTTGGGCCTGATTCAGACTCTCATTTTGGGATTTGCTAAATATGTCAGCCCAAGGAAGGTATTTGAGCAGAATATTTTCATTACATATTGGTCACCACATTGCTTGAGCATGAAGCTTTCAAAGAAAATTAAAGTGAAAGAAAAAAAAAAAGATCTAGTATTGGTTATTAACTCCACCTCACGGTGACTTCTCTTCAGGGGCAATTAAATAGCAGCTCTGGGCTGTTAGGTTTAGTGGATTTACTTGTAGGTGGCACACTCTTCTTCAAGGACAACCGCCATTCAGATATGCTTTGATTTTATCTGATGACACTGAGGCTGCCTCTGCAAAACGAGATTTTTCTTTAAAGTTGTAGATGTGACCACATCCATGTGCTCTGACCTCTCTTCTTTAAGAACCAAGTTTTGCATTACCAGGTAAATGTCCTTTCAGTGGAATTTTCATGGAACACTGGGGACATCCTGTGGTCAGCTCAGTTTAAGGCAGCCAGTCTTTTCAGCAACAATCTCAGGGAATAAAGAAATAAACATCCCACATAAATCCTGGTTTATTTTTTCAAGACCAAGAAGATAAAAGAAAAGGAAGAAAACAAATACCTTCTTGTTGCTAATAATTTTTGCAATATAAACCTCTCTTTTTTTGAACCAAACAGCTTTTCAGTGAACGTGGATGGAGCAATTATTTTTGTTAAGGAGAGATATTTTCCTGAAACAACATACAGCTTCATCAGAATAGAGGAAGAGCACCATGACATCAGGCGTTGCTCTGCGATCATACCTGGTTCTCACCATCTGCTGTTATAAATTCTCTGTGTCTTGGCTCAACTTCTGGTCCTCATAGGAGACAGCCGTCTGCAAAAAAGCACACAGCATGGCTAAAAGGGAAAACAGTGGGTATTTTGGCAGTTTTACACCACAGATAGTGCACCAGTGACACTAAATGGAAGTCATTTAGTTGTAAACGTGATATTACATTTGATGGTTTCCCTTGGCAAAGCACTGAGCTGCCCATGTTGAACAGAGGTAAAGAAATGGAACTTGGGGAGCAAAGCCAGTCATCAGAGTAGCAGACCAAAGGGGCTTGTAAAAGCATTTGTCTGTCATTTAGAATCATAACTCAGCTCAACACACACAGTACCAGGAACAACCAGCTCAGTTTCAGCAGTGGAGAGCAGGCAATGGAGTTTATGTTGCTCTTCTGTTTATTAAAGACGGATGGGAGCACTTGACAGAAAAATCAAACTTCTGGTCGTGGCTCATTAATCCCTGTTGTATCTGTCAGGGGTATGTGTTTGGAGTTCCAACAAGCCTCTAGAAGGAAGAACGCTGCTGAGCTTTGGTATTTTCTCCAATTTTGAATGGAAAGAGATGCCAGTCACCTAGAAGGAGGCATAGAATACAAAGTTATTTTTAACTCACCTATTTTAGTGGTCATTAAATATAAGTGAATTGGTTTAAGATAAAAATGATTATGGTTAATAATTTTGTTGCCGATTTTTGTCATAGGGCTTTATTTAGGAGAAGCAGCAAGGTAAAGACAAATGTGGAATAAAGCCGGTTATTATGGCTGTTTTAGGAAAAGCTCAGCTTTTGGAGCTAGATCTTCGGGGGAACCTGTGCAGACTCTTTGTGTGTTCCTGTGGTCATTGAAGTGCAGCTTTCTATTAAATTGTCTCTGACCTCCTCTGCCAGAGATGGAGATAAGACCCTGGTTCACCCAGACTGTTTACATCAACCCAGAAGACAGGAGCAGCGCTATTCCAGTCCCTCTGTCAGAAACAATGGTCCTTTGTGAGAAGATGTATGTTTCCAAGCCTCCACTCTGTGCTGGCTGCACCAGCACAGCTGATCAAGACTACAGGACCAGGAGAAATGCGGGTTTTCCTGCTGAGTCAGGGCTTGGGCTGTGAGACCCACATTTCTGAATCCCCCAAAGCCTTGGGTTTCTCCTGTGTAAAAGGTGCATATGGACACTCATTTAGCACATATCTCAGAGGATTTCTTAAGGATTATATGAGATAATGCACATAAGTCCCTTAAAACATAGGTGGAAGCACTTGTAAACATTGTTCTTGGGGTTGCCATTAGTAATATCACCATTTCCATCATCAGAGACAGAGTTGTTTGCTCTAGGTTGCGATCGTCCACACACTATCCCCAACCCGTTTGTCGGGAGTATGTGGGAAGGACTAGGGGAGGTTGGAGAAGGGTCCTGCCGGCTCAGCTTATCCCACTGGTTGGGGCAATGACTGAATTAATACTTTTGAACTCCGTTCTGGGCTAGGTGCTGTGAATGATACAGCGAGTTTTAAATGTCATCTCTGCACTCAATAAACTTAATTCTAATCCATTTTAGTGGGTACAGAAAATTCTCTGCGCAGGCAATCTTAGGTCAATAGCTTTCAAGTAAAGTAGGTGAATCCCCTAAAGGAAGACAAGCGCTGAGTGGAGTGAGAATTCAGGAGGACGCAGGGAATCAAACCAAGCACCGGCTACACATTTGGGTTCACCCCTGGAAGCTAAGGATTAGCTGGAGTCATGCCTCTGAGGGCTTCCAACAGGGTCCAGGCCCTCCTTGCCTATTCCTGGTTCTTTTCAAATTTGTTTAGAAACACACACACACAGTTGGCCAGGTACAGTGGCTCACGCCTGTAATCCCAGCACTTTAGGAGACTGAGGTGGGTGGATCACGAGGTCAAGAGATCCAGACCATCCTGGCTGACATGGTGAAACTCCATCTCTACTGAGAATACAAAAATTAACTGGGTGTGGTGGTATGCATCTGTAGTCCCAGCTACTTGGAGGGTTGAGGCAGGAGAATCACTTGAACCCAGGAGGCAGAGGCTGCTGTGAGCCAAGATCGTACCACTGCACTCCAGCCTGGCAACAGAGCAAAACTCCAACAACAAAAAAGGAAAGAAAGAAAAAAGAAAGAAGAAAGAAAAAGAAAGAAAGAAAGAAGAAAGAAAGAAGAAGAAAGAANAAAAAAAAGAGAAAGAAAGAAAGAAAGAAAGAAAGAAAGAAAGAAAGAAAGAAAGAAAGAAAGAAAGAAAGAAAGAAAGAAAAGAAAGAAAGGAAGAAAAGAAAGGAAGAAAAAAAAAAGAAACACACATGGTGGGTCCCTTCCTTTGCCTAATATTCTCTACCAATGGAGAACTGAGGCCAAATCACCAGAGCACAGAGCCAGTCTGAGATAGAAGTCAGAAGCTCCGATAGCCTCTCCCATTGTGGTCTTTTCTCCATCCATGACCTAAACTCCAAGTAAATCCTTCTAGAAATAACTTCTGAGTGCCCACAATGATGTGTATAAACCACGACACCAGAAGTGGGGAAAGATACCCAGATAGCATGGCTTCTCCATCAGGGAGCCTACATTCCTGCAAAAAGCTGAGGGTACACAAATGAGTCTGATGTAAGACAGGACATTGTTAGGCAATGTACGTGAAGAACCAGCAAAACAGGACAGGGTTCAGAGCAGGAGAGAGCACTTCTCTTGAGACCAGTCAGGAAAGCTGTCTGAATTAAGGGATTCTGCTTTAGCTGGACCTTGGAAGACAGTAAAGAGCTGGACGTGTGACAGAAATGTCTACCAGAGGGCATCCAAGTGGAGGACCCAGCACAGCAGAGGCTTGCACCACAGCATTGTGTGTTAATGCAAGAAGGAATATTAGGAAACCTACAAAATATCCGCTGGAAATCTCTGCTTAGTAAAGACGAATATATATACATATATATGTATATTTCGAGGAAAGCTTTGTTTATCTTGTCCTGCTAATCTTGTCGGAAATATTTATTCCACGTGAAAAGGTAAATCCAAATTTGGGGATCTCATTGACCCTGTGGGTTTTATTTCTGTTATAACTCAAGCCTGCTTACCCCTCCCTCTCCCACTGTGCCAGAGCCCGGGAACCTGAGGACTGTGAGAGCAGCAGCCTCCTAAAGGAGCATCTCGGCTGTGAGCCGTATTTTCAATTTTTATTTGCGTTTCTTATTTGCCCACAGCCTGATTTCTTTTAGGCTTGACATAATTTGCATGATTGAGTTAATCCAAGTGTGAAATGCAGTAGGGACCCAATTCAATGGATGGTCAGAAAGGCAGCATTATTAGGACATAAAAGAGATGGGGCAGGGTGCTGCCCCCGCAACTCCAGGTGCAAACAGACTACCACGGGGGACTTGCGGTGATCCGCAGGGCAGGACACTGCTCCAAAAGAATGAACTGCGTGTACTCGGCACAGGAGATGCATTCTTCAAGGTCCTTCTCACAAAATATTTATCAGGCCAGGCGCTATATTTGAGATCAGCAAACAGACGCACTCCATGCGGCATCAAAATCTCTCAGCCTAACTCCTCTAGCACCCCTTGAAAAAAAAAAAAGAAATAGTTGCACATATGTATTAAATATATATGTACTTTTTATTTTAAAATAATTTTAGACTTACAGAAAGGTAGTACTGAGAATCCCCATAGACTCCTCTCCCACCTTCCCATAATGTGAACATCTTACCATACTATGGTAGATTTGTCAAAACATATAAATTAAAACAATTCAGTACTGTTAACCAAACTGCAGACCTCATTCAAATCTCCCCAGTTTTTTCACTGTCACTTTATTCATTTTGAGATATATGTCACCCTACTCATTTTGGTAATTATCTTTAATCAACAGATAAAGTCATTATTGATTTCATTTTGCAACCTGCTGGCCTTGCTTGACCTCTGGGCTCATCAGGGTGCAAAACACGCTCCCCACACAGCCAAGTGAAGCCTCACAGCCCCCGTGTGCACTCCACATCCTTGCTGGGATCTCTGGGGAGAACAGGCTTTCTGCTCAGCCATTCCTGGAGCATTGAGAAGGCACGAAAGCCAGCTCCAGGGAGCAGCTGTAAATTCACTGGCAATCAGCAGCTTCTGGCCGTGGAGTGCCAGCTGTCCTCAGAGATCTTCACAGCAAAAGAAAGACCTCCAAGGGTGGCATGAGGACATCACAGAGGGGGCATTTGGTGAGGATTTTACCAAGCAATGGCTCTGGCCTTTTTCTTTTTTATTTTTAATTCCTTTAACAGTAATAATGTAATCTCTTAGGTCTGCTTAGTAATTGTTCCAAATAATTCCACTATTTTTGGTAAAATTTTGTTTAAAAATTTTATGTCAATGTTACTAAAACTTTATCTTAGAATTCGTGTTTAATAATCTTTAGGTATTGTTAGCTATAAAACATATCTTAATTGTATCAAGAAATAAATGACATAGGATGTTTCATTCATTTTAAAGTCATAATTTAGAAAAAAGAGTATTTTGTGGAACAATTTGCTTTAACGTAATATATTGTCTCATTGTTGAAGACTGCATGTATGTTAAAACACAGTACAACAATTGCACATTACTATGTCAAATATACTAGAATACCTTTTTATTCCTTGACACAGAGAAATCTTGCGTGTTGCCCTTCAAACAGCTTTATTTTTTATAATTTTTGCTTTTTTTGTTTCTCAATGACAAAACTTGGGAGAAAGTTCATAATGATATTTGTTAAAACTTTACAACTAACACATTGAGAGTATGGTTTTACATTTTAAATTCCCCATAAGTAATAAGCCACACTGGGCACATTTAATCTTTTTCACACTGAATTTGGAAATGCTAGTGACATGGCTGTGTGTAGATCAATGTAGACAGCTTAAGAGGAATTTGCAGACATTTCCATTTTTATGGTCCTTAACTACTTTACAACATCAATGTCCTTCGTGCCTATGTCTCTAGCCAAATGGACAAATATAAGTTTAAACTTCACAATATGTAACTAAGAAGTGAAGTAAGTTAAACCCGCACACTGGTGCAAACCACCCAGCGGT